GGGTGCCGTCGGCCAGACAGTGCCGGCTGGCGACCCCAAGGGGGAGGGCCTTCTCTGTGGGAGCTCCCACCCTCTGGAATGAACTACCCCCAGAGATCAGGGTGATCCCTGATCTCCCTTCCTTCCGCCGCGCCCTTAAGACATGGTTATTCCAGCTTGCGGGACTGGCCTAGGGGAAAATTTTTAGTGGGGGTTTTAATATAATTTTAAATTACTTAGACCAATTATTAATATTTGCCTTTTAATCATGTTTTAATCTGTAGTTTTTGTATTTTGTATTTTTATCTGGTTGTTAGCCGCCCTGAGTCCGCAAGGAGAAGGGCGGGATATAAATATAAACAATAAATAAATAAATAAATAAATAAATAAATAAATAAATAAATAAATAAATTCTGAGCGATTTACCATAAAAATGTAAAAAGTGGCATAAAACCATAAATACAACAAAGTTAACAGACTTAAGGACAAAGTTGAAAGTAAGTTATTACATATTAAAAAAAGATGGAGGGAGCACTCTCACCTCAACAGTCACCCCTGAGGTCGATATCACTCGTTAACTTCCATGCCAATTGGCAGAGCCAGGTCTTAACATTCTTTTGCAAGGACAGAAGAATGGGGTCTCACCTCACCTCTGGGAATAAGATGTTGCAAAGATGACCCACCAGTCAAAATTCTTTAACCAATGGGATCTGCAATGTACCCTCCCTGTCTGATCAGGTGGGTTGGGACAATGTAATTGGGATGAGACAGTTCCTCAGGAAGGCTGGTCCCATGCCACAAAGGGCTTTAAAAATGATAACCTCAAATTGGACTCGGAAGCAAACCGGTACCAATGCAGCTTGCATAGCAGAGGTGTTACATGTCTGAGGGTCTCTCAGAACTGTTCATGCCACTGCATTCTGCACCAGTTGCAACGTCTTCAAGAATAGTGCCATATAGAGTGCATATAGAAAATGATTAGGTCACGAGTGACTGAAAAAAAGGCTTCTTGATCCAGGAAAGGGCAAAACTGATATACAACATGAAGTTGAGCAAAGGCCTTCCTAGCCACAACTGCCACCTGCTTCTCGAGCAGAAGTTGTGAGTCCAGGAGGAACCTACAACTATACAGCGGGTCCATCCGAGGCAATGCAACCCCATCCAGGATGAATGATGTAAACTCCCAGTTACAGAGAAACCTATGCATAGCACTCCATCTTACCAGGGTTCAGTTGCAGCCTGTTTGTACCCCATCCAGATCCCCACAGCCTCTAGGCACCATGAAAGACAGTTCATAGCATCCCTTAATTCATCCAAGATGGAGATATACACCTGCAATATACCCTCCTGTCTGATTAGGTGGGATGGGATCTCAGTATACTGGGTATCATCAGCATACTGAATGTAGCTCCTCTTGTGGTGATGGATAATCTCACCCAGCAGTTTCATGTAGATGTTAAAAAGGAAACAAGAGAGCAATGAACCTTGCAGTACCCCACAAATCAAGGACTGCAGCTGCATCTCTCTTTCCTGATCAACAGCAATTGGGACCAGTCCCATAGGAAAGAGGTAAACCACCATAAAACTGTGCCCTCCATCCCAACTCCTAAAGTCAATCAAAAGGATACCATGGTTGATGAACTCTACCAAGAGGTCAAGAAGAGCCAGGATGGATGTACTACCTCCATCCTGCTCCTGCCAGAGGTCATCCAAAAGTGTGACCAATGCTGTTTCATCCCATATCCAAATCTGAAACATGAGTGGAAGGGCCCAGATAATCCTTTAGAGCTGCAGCACAACCACTACTTAACATCTTCCCTAAAAAGGAGAGATGGGAGACTGGATAAAAATTAATCAAGAAGATAAAGTCCAAGAATGAAAAGGGGATGTACAAACATCTCTTTAAATGGTGCCGAGAATATCATTTTCTATCAAGAATGAATAATCTGTCTCTAGGACCCACCCACATGTCATCTCTGAGGTGCCTCAATCAACCAGAAGGGGCATAGATATGAATCACAGGTGGCCATGCTTATAGACCAAAGATTCTGTCCATTTCCTCAGGTCCAACAGAATCAATCTGATCCCAAATAAGACTGTTCCCCAGGCATCTCCAATGTACCATGCTTAATGAATTGAAGAAATGCCTTTAAACTCTTTAGAGCTTCATGCACTCTTTAGAGAATAATTCAATGGACATTTGTTAAGATATTAAATGGTATTTCAAATTTTGTCTTTGAATCACTAAGGAATGCTGGAAAAATCCCTCACCTGAATCCTGAGAAAAGTCAGATTCCCTTCAGTTTGGTCTGCCTCTGTTATAAACCATAGCCAAATGGGAGATCAATAAAGCAATACAAGTAAAATCATTTTTTTATTCCCCTAATTTATGGCAATACTCAAATCATAAAAACAAATCTATATGCCATGATTTATTTTATTTTACTAGTGATCATGAGCAACAATTATTCTGAAAACTAGGATTTTGTCCAGCAAAATAAAATTTGAAAAAGCTGCTTGTTAAGTAAAGATGTTATAAAATCAATTGGTTTAGTACCTGATTTAGAATCTTTAAAGACAGACACAACATGACGCAAGAAGTTGGTAAGCTGCTCTGCACTTTTTGTATTCTGGTTTTTGGGTGTGATATCTTCATGGCACCAGAGTGGACCAAATGCCCTTAAAAATCAGAAAATTGATATATTTTATTTTGAGATTAAAGTAAATTATTTTAAATAGCACAACACAATGGCACAGTTCACATACATCCTCCTTCAGATGAAGACTGTAGGCCAGGGGTAGGCAACCTTGGCTCTTTTATGACTCGTGGACTTCAACTCCCAGAATTCCTGAGCCAGCATGGCTCAGCTTGGAAACCTCTCCCTTTCCCCTCAGCATGGCTGGCTCAGGAATTCTGGGAGTTGAAGTCCACGAGTCATAAAAGAGCCACGGTTGCCTACCCTTGCTGTAGGCAAAGGGTTTACAGTATAGACAAGCTGTAACATTGTATAAAGTAAGTCAACCCAGGAGTTGAGATTCCAATAGTTCTAGAGACACCATTTTGGGGGAAGGCTGAATTATTTGATACTGTTATTAAGAGCAAATGATCATATGAAAAGTTCTGAATTATGTTACCCAGGGCTTTTTTTCTCACAGAACGCCCAGAACGGAGTTCCGGCACCTTTTTTGGATGGAACTTTGTAGGGTAGGCAAAGCGGGTTTTATGAAGTGTGTGAGTTCCAGCACCTTTTTTTTTTTTTTTTACAAAAAAAGCACTGATGTTACCCTCATACTAAATAGATAATAAGGAAGAGCTTCATGGTCATTATATGGCCACTATAGAAAGCAGAAGAATGCCCTCTTAAGATGATGTTCTTTCATTGAACTGTGGTTCTTTCCTTGCTCATTCTCACTAAAACTTGTTGTATTGTCAGGACAGTTAGGTAAGCCTTGTAATTATTCTAAGAGACCGTTGATGTGCACAATGTATGAATATGTTTATCCCTTTTTAAAAAGTCTAAGAAAAGATGGAGAAGACAGTTTTAGTCTCTGATGCAGAAAATATTTCCCATTTCAGCTAACTATGAAAAATAAAAACAAAGATTAATTCAAGAGTCTGCTCTGAATTTCAATGGGGAATGAAGTATTGGAGTGACAGTGCAATCTTTATTTCATAGAGTGATGCTATATTTTTAAGAAGCAATCTGCCAGCCAAAAAAGAATTATTGTATTATACTCTTCTCCCCACAACCTGAAATAAATTGCTCCAAGCAAGTCAAGTGCCTTTTTACATCTGTTTCCTACACCTGTTTTATACTAACATTCACTTCTGGCTAAGATTAGAAAGAGGGAATCTCAGTGGCATTTGCAAAAACTGTCTCTTACTTGTAAAGCAGAAAATAAGGACATCGTGCCCATGCTGTTATACCCAAGAAACCTATTAGTGAAGGCTTCATTTTTCAATGAATTATGAATTAATACAAATTCTTTTAAAAGCACACCATAATGCTTTTAAGAATTAAAATGGGATATGTATTCTGCCCTTAGTTACCTGGTGGTTAGAAACTCTATTAGTTTGTTTGCCTTTTCATTTGTCTCCAAAGTTGGGTCAATGTCTTCTATCTCCTGGGTGATTTGTGGGAGATTTCCACTGCTCCCTCCAAGGCTGATGCTGGAAGAGGTGGAACTAGAGCTGAGCCCAGAGTCTGGCACAGGGGAAGACTGATACTCCCGCAGAAAGTCAAAGCCACCTAGCAAAAATGTGGAAAAAAATCTATATAAACATAGAGGTCATAATTTTGTTACATTACATTCACTGTGAGATAGATCACATACATACAAACATACATATTTTATTAAGAAATATAGGAAAATATGCCTTTGAAGAAAAATCTGTTACAGATAGATCCAATCAGAACATAGTACTAAAACAGAATTCTGCAGAAAAGAGTCTTTGTTATATCTTTCATTCTTTTCTATGTTGAGCACCATAGAATTATGAAAGCGATGACAGCCAAGCTCAAACAAAATTGAAAGAAAGCCCAGAAACTGGTTTTTCATTACCTGTATAGAAGAATTCGGGCAAATGCACAGGCTGGACTGTAAGTGTCTTGGTTTCATTCATCTCTCTAGTCTGAAGAAGCATTGAGGCTATGGCTTGAAAATTGCTATTACATGACAATACAATTAGCAGATGGAGTAACAGCTTCTTGCTATGCTCAAAGACTTCTGGACGATAATGATCAAGGCCTAAAGAAAACAATCAGGATGTCTGATTAATTAAGAAGCACAAAAAGCTCATATGCTAGAAAAAGTGAAAAGTATTTGAATAGCCTTTTATTTGGGAAAACCAAAAATATAATTTTATTCTTGTTTATAAGTTTGCATGATTTTTGTATGTTCTAAAAATAAAGCTGTAACATTTAATTGGATTAATCTATTGATTGATTGATGGATGGATGAATGCATCATTGGGAAACCTGATTGGTTAGGTTGAAGACAAGTCACTCTGGAAGTTTTATTTGACTGATTACTAAGAGCTGACATTAAATTGGCACATAATTAAAAAGTTAATTAGACTAGAGCTGCAATATTTAATTGTATTAATCAATTTTAATAATTGTTTGTAATAAAGTATTAACACAGCTGAATAAATCTTGACTCCTGTTGATATATGTACATGGACACAGTCATAACTAAATTATATAGTAGTAATTTGTCATGCATTCTTCTGAGATTTTTTAAGATCTAGTTTACAGCCCTGAAATTCCATGGACATCTCCCATTAAGATATTATAGCAGGCATTAGAGGAATTTCATCTCTAATACTCATGTCTTTGAAGACAGTACTTCACATGACCCATCATCCTAGTAACAACCAAAAATTTAACTAAAACAATAAACGTTATACTATCTAAGACTACAATTCTAAACATTAGAGAAAAAAAATAATTGAATCCAGTGGTTGATAAACATAAAAAAAATCTCATAGGACAATCGGTTAATCCAGAGGTTCTCAAACTGTGGATTACAACAACGGGGTTGTGAACAAATTTGAGGGGTTTACACTTACTCTGCTCTGCCTGGATGTAGATGACCTTTGCTAAGCTGCTGGCATTAAGCTTGCTAAGTTTTCTTTAATAAGCACTTGGAGTAACAGTTCCTATTATATCCCCAACCTGTTCTGTGGGGTCATTCAAGGCCATGATTGTAGTGTTCTTGCCCAGTCTCATTGTCCCTGTCTTCCAAGGATGGCTGTTTGGGATTTCTTCCTAGAAGGCATGATGCTGAGTTTTGGTAGATACATGCTCCAAGCAGCCTGAGTGCTTTGTCTTCTCTATTTTTTCAGAAGTATGAGGCCTCATGACAGGAAGTTTACAGCACTGTCAAAATGTAGTCTGCCAATTTTATTCTCAGAGAAATGTTATTCAAATTCATGTATTATTTTAGTGATTCATATCACTTTCAAAGTCTGAAAATCCCAAGAACCAGTTAATAGTCCTAATAGTATTTCAAGTTCTAAATGGTGACCATTTAATAACTTCCCACCGATAGTAAAATTTAGAATTTTAGAATTAAAGTGTAAAGTAAAAGTACCATAATGAAAATTTAGAGAAACTAATACATTGTTTATTTTTTTCCATACAGAATGTATGGTTTCTGATTCTATAAGGACAATATTGTGGGAATTTCTGTCCAAAATCATGTCATAATTTATTGCCATTTTTCATAGAATGTAATATTTTATTTGAGGGAAAAGATACTCTATTAGGTGATATGAGAGGATTGGTAGGAATAATACAAAGGAGTACAAAAAAAATGGGCCAAGAATGAATAAAAATAATAATTGTTTAGTGAGGAGATGTATAGAAAAGTTTTGTTATGAATATGTGGTTCAAGTGTAAGTTGGTCTATTTGTATACATGCATACATTCACAAATATGTACAAGAAAAAAAAATGAATAAAAATACATAACTAATTTGATTCGTTATAATGAAAGGACTGAGCTGCAAATGGTGTAACTGGAGAAATATAAAATAAATATGGATGTTGTCTGTGATTTGATGTTATCAAGATGTTTTGAACTTTGTCTGTGGCCTAGAAATTCTTTGGTAGATGGCCAAATGAAAAAAATGAATGAACAAACAATAAATGAATGTGAAAAATATATCTGTTCCTGACAATTAGAGGAATATCTAATCAGCAAAGTAGCAAATGGCAATGCAGAACTCATAGTGAATTAATTTGTTAAGTGTGTTTACAAAGGAGATAATCAGCAAAAAGTGAGATTTGGAATATAGCTTTATACCAAGAATGAAGTATGTTGACCAAATTTTGACCCTATTAAATTTGTGTTCGATAATGTCGTAGTACGGAATCATATACTATACTATCCTAAGATATAATAATGTTTGGTTCCAGTTTGTCACATTCTACAAACTTAGATAATTATGGTTTATAAATCACAATTTATATGTTTATATATTTTACAAAACATGGTTTATAGATTAAATTATGATTTAAAAATTTAAATCTCATTGTGATATGTAAATAAATCCATAGTGTAAAAGGGAAAAAAATGCAGGAATGGAGTGACAGAAGAGTAACATAAACAAACTCAATTTTCTCTTAAATTTTTGTTTAGTTATTATTTCTTACCTAAAAACAGAGCATGCAACAGTAATGGTAGGTGAAGGGCCCAGTCTTCTCTTACACTATGATCTACTACCATTTCAGTCATGAAAATAACAGCAATATTGCACCTAATAAGAAAAATAAAATCAATCAGTTCAAACATTGCAATGAGAAATAAGAATAAAGCAGAAACATGAAGAAGTTGATCACAAAATACCAAGAATAGCTCAGGTATGTGACAATTTCTAAGCTATAGTAAAAGTAAAGGAAATAGAAGGGTGGTTAATATGAGGAAAGGCATTGATAATTATATATTCTGTATTAAATGCATGTCAGTGATTCTGTCTGCAGTTTATTAAGAAAATAATATCTCCATATTTGGTCCCCCACAATTCTCCACATTTGAAAGGTTAGATAACTTCCTGGAATACATTTTGTAGAAGTACAAGAGGTTAAATGGGAAAAGGAGGAAGTCAAAATGCAATGGCAAAATAAAAGTACGCTTTTGCAGGATCTGATTCAAAATATTTTTTGGCATTTCAGGACTCACCATGGGAGAAAAATAGAGATGTGTATATATTGAAATTCCATACACCAATCACTAAAAATATAATTTACAATGTGATTGATTTGTCAAAACCTCACAAAGGTCTGTTTTAAGTACAATATCACAATAGGGTACCTAAACTTAATTTAGATCATCCTATCTGATGCTAGTATTTCTTTATGTTCAGAATATAATTGATCAAACCATTTTCATGTGGTAAAATGGATTCATAATTGGAACAGATTCATGAAAATAATGTCTCATAAGCTGCAAAGTTTGTAGTCTTCAACTTGAAAAATAGGGAAAATAAAAAAGCCAACTCAAATAATGTTTTCATCTTTATCACAAATATAATTTGTAGAAAGAAGTAATAATCCTGCTATGGGAAGAGAAGAGCAAAAAGAAGTTGGGTACTTTACTATATATCTTCAATTGTTTTTAATTTATTGCAAGCCAGGTACCAATCTGGCCTGCTGGATGGTATTTATAAAGGAATAAAGATATTTGTAAAGGAATTGAATACTGTGCTGAACTTGAAGGAATGAGTTTTGTTTTGTTCTAATGCTGGTTAAACAATTTTCAAACAAAAGGTAGATCAAAACAACACAAGAAACAATAACTAAAGTGGAAGAGATTTTAAATGATCATTCTGTTTATACTGAGAAGATACAACGGTTATAGGTGTTCTATTTAAATTGTATGAGTAAATAACTGGAATACATAGCCTCTGCCCTATTCATATAATTTCTAGCATATTATAAAAAATATCCCAACATTTGCTGACACCCATTCTATGGATGTCATGAGGTCACATTTGCTGACACCCATTCTATGGATGCCATGAGGTCACTGACCATGGCTTTTATGGCTTCCAAGGCCATAAAAGGCCAAAATCATAGAGCAGCCCCCAGATTAAAAAAATATTGTCCAGCTCCATAGTCCTACACACTATGGCAGACAAGTTTTAGAACTCTTAAGATAGAATGAACAATTAGAAGATGGACCAGTTGAAATATTTTAGGAAACTGGGGTTTCCTTATATTGTGCTTACCTATGGAGGGGTCCCCGTGGTGTAATCGTTTCTGGAAGGTAGTCAACAAGTGGTGCCCAGCACCCTCCATTAAATGGCATTGGCAAAGGTTGTGGCTGTTTCATTTCCACAATATTCAGCAGCCAACTTGTATATGGAGAAATAGGATCATCTGTGCAGAAACATTTATTACATTTCTACATTGTCCAATAGCCAACCTTCTTGGAGCAGTGTTCAGGTAAATTAAGATCAGAGAAACAATGCAGTGCAAATATCAAATCTCAGTATCTTATTGGCAGCTAAAAGACAAGAATATATGCCTTTGAATGGATATTAATTAATTCATTCATTCAACTTATATTTTGCCTGGAGGTTGTAAGTGGCTTACAATAACTAAAAACCAATACAGATATTAAAACAATAAGCAATGAATAGTAACATTAAATTAGTTAAAATTAACAAAAATAGGCAGGGTGGAAGCAAGATGAATATGAGGAGAGGTAGGATCTTATCTTAGTCTGTCAACCACATCCAGAATGATGTGTCCCCATTAGGGCTCTTCTCCTGGATCCTCCCAACTGTAATATTTTGACTGGCTGAGTCCGCAGCATATAGATATTCCAAAATATAGATCTTCTAATATTGGGGTGCTATCTTTAAAAAGGTCCTGTTTCCTGTAGACCCCTGGGGTCTCAGATGATGCCCAGAATAGGTGGTCAGCAAGCCAAGTAGAGCTTTAAAGTAGCACTTTAAACTAAATCTAGATAAAGGCAGTGCAGATAGAAGGTATTGGCACAATGGGATCACTAATGCCATTAACAACATTGCCATTACTAGACTATTAGATTAAGCCAGGAGTTCCCAACCAGGGGTGTGAGACGATATTCCAGAGGGTACAAAAACTTGGGTTTTCAAAATTATAGTGTATATGCATAATTCGTTGCCGTTATTAGGAACTTTCGTAAGGGATGCGAGAATATATCAGAAGCGTTCTAAGGGTGCAGGGTATAGAAAAGGTTGGGAACCACTGGAATAAGCTAATACAAAATGTTCAAAACTATCGAAGTAATAGTGAGCATGGACCAAGAAATTTTGGTTGAGCAGTGTCAGGACTAAAATATGTACTTTGTCCAGGCACAGCCCCGAAACACATGTAATTTGAGCAGAGGCATTTTGAGGTAAGGAAAGACAGACAAAGGAAAGGCCATTGGCAACTGTACCTGGCAGCGGCTAGGGAGAGGTAGGGAAAGAAAGACACCCGAAAGTGAAGGCAGGCTACCCACTTTGACATGGTGTGCTTGAATTTAAGGTAAGAGGACACTAAGCTAGTGGAAGGTGCTATGGGGCTAGAGAGCAGAGAAGTTTGTTTCTCTGATAGCTGAACCATCTGTTTGCTGTGGTGTATGCTGCTGATTGCTTTCTGTTTGACAATTTAATAGATAGGGAGTCTGATATTGTCACCATTACAAACCAGTCAATGCACACTGTGAAAATCTGATGCATTTTTTTTTACATACAGGTATTTAAATAAGACAAAAGGACATGTGCTGCTAATATATTTTATGTTGATATTTTTGTTAATTTACTACATTTTAAATATGAACATTCACATAAAATATATACATAAAACCTATATGGAAATATATAAATGACTATAACAAATGGATACTAATCAGAGGCTAATATTAATGCATAACTAAAACTTTGAGTTAAAAAAACTTAAATTCAATGAACTGAAAGGTTTAAATGAGATCGAAGCAGATATTTAATATTTTCTATTGAAATGGATGGTTCAAATATGCTGTCCAAATCATGTCTGGCTAGTATTAGCGAATAACACCATTCACAAAAATTAATATTAATCAAATATCAAGACATACTTTTATCATCGTCGTAAGATCCTCCAGAGCTATTGCTGTATCTTGATTCTAATCGATTATGTGCTCTGATCACATTACTAAACCTTGTAAATAGGAAAAAACACACAAAAACCTATTTAAAATCTTAATACATACTCAATTCATAATAGTATTATATATCCCAATGGATGGATAAAAATGTAAAAATTCTTGTTTTAACTTTATTTCTCAATTTTTTTCACCTCTATCCATTAGGCCTGTGTTCATATTAGTTTAGTTTTTTTCCAAATTTGGTAGCATTTTTATCTAAAAGTTCTGCCTCCATATTCAGTCTAGAAAGTTCAATCATTTCCAATAGGATATAACTCCCCTGTGAAATTACTGAATTTCAAAAATGAAAAAAGCGTAGTTTATTAGCGGAAAGCAGAACTTCTAAAAATAGAGAATAGATATTAACAATATAAGCTTTACCCTTATTCAAAGCCCATCCACAGTTTTAAACATGAACCAAAAAACATTTCCAAGCTGTAGGTATATAAAAATCAACTTTATGTATATTCCATGGCAGGGGTCCCTAACCCCAGGTCCATGGACCAGTACCAGTCCGTGGCATGCCAGCACAAACAAGCAAAGCCCCATCCGTGGGATGCAGGTAGCACACAAAACCACGCACTCTCTGGTCCACGGAAAAACCGGTCCCTGGTGCCCAAAAGGTTGGAGACCTCTGTTCCAAGGTCTAGTCTTTAATTGTTAATCCCAGAAACAAAACCACAGATCATAAGATTGTGATTAATGATGGTTACCAGTACTCAAACTGGAGATCTACTGTACTAAGCATTTCTAATCCAGAAAGAGGGAGAAAATGTCTGAGATGTTTACTACAAACCTCTCATCTGTCTCTTTTAAAATTCTATTGTCTTCAATGTCTGCAAAACTATCTTGGCCAGCTACAACAGTGTTACTGCTTGATGTAGTTCCTATACATGTAAAACCAAAAGTATTATTAAAAATAATCATTTTGAAACTACACAAATATACACACACATCCAATGCAATGCATAACTCAACAATCACCAAACTATATTTTTTGGCTTCTCTGAGTCATGTTATAAATTAATATCTATGTACAGTAAGTAAAAAAACATTTATATTGCAGCTTATTTCTTTCCTTCTCTGTTATATATGCAACGATTTGCAAATTATGAGTTGTTGGAATAGAACAGCAGATCAGAGAAAGTTCTTTTGAGCCCCATTCCTAAGTTCCATATTTTGTCCTATCATAGGTTCCTATTTATGATGATGATGGTGATATGATGATTATATCATTTTTATGCATATAGCATATGGTTAAAACTTATGTATTTCAGAGTTCAACTCAGGCTGAATATACATGAATAGCCATGCATACTGTATATAAAGTTATTATATTTGGTTATATTTGAACTACAACACTAATTTTGCAATCCAGATCAAACATCTGTACTGCATGAACTTTACAGAAACCTAGAACAGGATCTGAAGGGTTGGCATAAACTGAAGTGTAAATAAACTTAGCTGAAAGCATTTGTCTATAGTTACAATAGATCTGGGACTAGCTCATGAATGTAACTATCCTAAAAAATATATAGCAGGTCTTCAGTCGGTAAAAACATGCCTTTTATTCTTAGAAATACCTAATCCCACAGCAAATATAAATAAATCTACAGATATATTTTTTGTTCTGCAGATGTTAAAATGTTGGATCCAAACCTATTTAGAGTAGGCCCACTGTGAGCAAGAATATTTAACTACATTGTGGTTACTTGATTTCAAAGACTGTACTTTAATCTACTGTAACTGTGAGGACTATACCTATACATTTATGTTTCGATGAAATATTTCAGTCTGAAAAGCACCAAGGAAGATATAAGACAGAGGTTCAATGTTAACACATGCAACTCTGTTCTGAAAAATTGATATTATAATTCCTTCAAATATAGTATCTCTAATAAAAGTAGAAAGCTTTAATTCTTACCAGAAGCAACAACTGAAGCTTTGTTGCTGGCAGTAAAACGATAAAATGGTGGATTGTCACAATGCTGAACTATGGGATTCACGGGATCTGTTTGCTGGAGCTCAAATAGAAGTTCTTCCATTGTTTGAATAGTATTGTTCCGACACATATAGATGGCAACTTTTTTGATCTGAAAAAAAGTAGCATTTAGCAGCTTTTATCTACAAAAAAGGTAATGTAAGAATGTGCAGAGCAGACACATAGATGACATGTTTAAAGGTATAATAATATAAAATAACCTTCTTCATATTACTGGCTGCCAGATGGCAGAATTATCTGGGAATTATAGACATAACACATCTGGACAGTACCTGGATAGGGATATATCATTATGCCCAAAAACTAATGGGTCTAACAACTATCAGGATTAGTCTCAAAACATGAAAGCATGCAGAAACTGCTTACAGAAAGATTCTGTTATAGAGAAATAAAGGAAGCACAATTACTTTCTAATATAATACCATCATGCCACTGAACAGCTTCTCATTACATAAGATAGAAATGAGCAATAAGTTTTGTGGTCTGCAAAGGGTTATAATTTTTTAAAGCTGATCTGCAAGGATTTCAGAGTACATATTGATTTTAATTAATAGGATAGAACTATATTTTAAGTTAATTTTGGAGTGGTCAGAGAATTCTTAAAAATGTTCATTACGGTTAAACAAAGGCATAGTTTCCTTCAATTTGACAGTGAGATGGGAGCATATAAATTTAATAAATAAGAAGATAAATAACATTTGAATTTAATTCTTGATGAGGTCATGGGCACATTCATATTGGCAACAAGATTCCATCCTACTTAGCTTGAGATCAGTCAAATTCAGCTAGGTGCTATCCACAAATTCAGCACACTGAAATTTACCAGAGCTTTTAATCTGTTTTACAGCTTTCTTTGTTTAAACTATAGTATAATCAAAAAATAGTAATTTGTGATCAAATGTGGACAATTTAGTTTCTGGGGTGCTATACTTGCTAAGCTTTGGGTTCCACATTTCATATGAAAATAAAGAGATAGCCTTTATAAAGTCTACTGAATATTTGGTATCTTTTCTCCTATGTAGGGGCAAATTTATTAACAACTTCAGTAGAATAAACTCATAAAATTATTCCTGATACATTATTTTGAATACATACTGTTTTGTTCGATAAGAATAATACAACTTTTTTTAAAAAAAACCTACTTACATAAGGTAAAAGAATTGTATCACTGCTAACCCCACATAAGCTTATCAGAAACTGCAGAGTTATTCTCAGATTGTTGCTCCATTTTTCATTATTAGCTAAAGCATTCCAGACGTTCTCCATTTCTGGTCCAGGAACTTCATCTCCATACTAAACAGAAATATGAAAAATGAATGAGATCAGAATACAGAGAGTGATTGCTAAAGTAAGTGAAATATAAGACAAACTGAAAGGTAATCAATGAGTTAAAGAGACAAAGGAGAAAGATCTTTTTAGTGCACAGAATCCATTTGAATTATAAAGGTCAAGCTACATTAAGTCTTGGCTGCTATAAAATTGCAGAAAAGTACTGACAAATATGTACTGACTGATAATAATAATCAGACCTTTCCAATATATCATTATGTAACATTGTGCAGATAAAAAAGAGGGAGAATTATTTATGCAACTTTCAATCCTGGTCTAATATTATGGCACTACATTTCATATTTTATAGACCACTTAGTATTTTCTTGCTTACTTTGGCTGTCATATACATCAGATTATTAAGCACCAATGATGTGGCTTCTGGTGAGCCCCAGCCATTTCCTTTCAAGCCACATGAAACAGTTACTTCTCCATCTTTATCCTTTATTTCATCTTCAGGGGTGGTAGGACTTGAACCTGGGAGAAGAAGTCTGCTGTCTACTAGCTCAATGTTATGAAGCCATGGTAGCAAGTAGGTGAGCATGATCTGGCGCCCATTTGGATGAGTTGTTGGAAATCGTTGACTTACTTCTAAAATCAATTGAAAAAAAAACCACTCCTAGAATCTTAGCTTTAGGGGAAAGACAATGAAGCATTTAGTTCAACAATAAATTCTGTCAAATACATTTCATCTGATAAAATGTCAAGAACGTGAGTTCAAAATTTTTTATTATAAAGACAGAAATATATTTCATTTCCAGCAACTGACAGAGAAGCAGAGTCACTGTGGAACAGTGATTAGATGTTGAACTAGGAGCAGGAAGATCCAAATTAGGAAGGAAGATGTTGGACTAGGAATAGGAAGATCTATCTGCTCACCGATTAGCTACATCCATCTCAACATTCCACAAGTCCCTCAAAGCCTGGCTATGTTATCAGATCTGGGAGTCCCAGAGAACTAGGGAGATTTTGCAATGGATCCCTTACTGTGCTTAGTAACATCCGCTCCTATTTTGTATGTCATTGTTATAGAATTTGTAATTGTGATTTTTTAATATAGATTTATTGGTTTTTAATTTAGTGCTATACTTTGCCCAGAATCACTGTCTTGTAAGATAAGCAGCTATACAAATATAATAAAATAAAATAAATAAATAACCCCAAGGCCCATTAGACACTGTGGTTATTGATCTTATGAAATCTGCCAATAGATCTAGGAGAACTGCACTCTCACATCCAGTTGTTAATGATCAAAGCAATGTCAGTGTGTCCCAAATCTTAACAGAGCTGGATTCAGTACTAAATTGTGAACAACTTGGAAAGACTTTTGTCACAAGTATAGAATTGCCATCAACCATTCTTATTGGAGAATTATTGATTAATAATCCAGCATAACCAGGGTACCAATCATCAGCCTTTTTAAATCCAAGATACTATCCAATAGACCAGAACAAAGCAACAACAAAAGGAAATGGCAATAACAAAGATGAAAAAAAAACCTGGTTTTGCGCCTTTGCTAATTTAATGAGATTCTGGCTATTTTGCCATTAAGATATCCTTCAGAATCATGCAGAAGCCTTTTGGTCACTTGTAATATTTGTTACTTGACAAATATCTGACTCGAAGGGACCGTAGTTTAAAGAAACAATAGATAACTCATGGGAAAATAAATAAATAAATAAATAAATAAATAAATAATTAAAGCATTTTATTTTAAAATTCTACTCAGCCTTCAAAAAATATGTTGTCTTCACCATGGTAAGATGACATTAGCCCAACATTTGCAAAAAGAAAGAATAGTATCTAAAGATAAATGCATTAAGTGGAAAACATGATCATGGGTCTTCAAACTTGGCCCTTCTATGACTTGTGGACTTCAATTCCCAGAATTCCTCAGCCAGCGCCAAGTGGGCCAAGTTTGAAGACCCCTGTTTTAGATGCTTATTTAGTTCTACAGTACTGTTTTGTGCATATGTAAAGGAAAAAAAAACCCCAAAGATGCAAAATCATGTCCTGTAGCTCTAAGAGTTTACACATATGATATGTTCACAGATCCATAGGAGGATATATGAGATAATAGATCATCTTTCCGCTAGTAAGGCTGAAGACATAAATAGAAACTTATACCTGAAAACAATGGAAGTGTCAGCTCAGGGTACATTCTTGCTAGTTCGTAGGACAGATGAGCTAATGAGACACTGTAAAGTGGTGGCAAAGGACCATGAGTCCCATAAAGAATGCTGCCAGGTCTTCGCTCAGCTATTTTCTTGGAATAAACAAAAAGCTTTGTTTCCAAAATCTGTTGGAAGATTAAAAAGAAACAGAAATGATATAGATGATAAATGAATGATGGAGTATTATTGAAAATAAATTTTAATGGATTACTCATGATTAGCAGTTTCTGCCTATGCTTTTGTATCTGCTGCAAGGGCTAAAAGTATTTGTACGTGGGTTACCATTGATTTTGTCCTCCTTCCCTTCTCCTCCCATAAGGAAAATAAAAGAATAGTCAACTCAGTCACAATAAAGATATCAAAGTGAAAAAAAAGGAGGAAAAATGGCAGGGGGAAAAAATCCTTGCTCCCTCTGTTGTAATTTTGTGTTTTTCTGAGAAATTGGAAAAAAAAGAAAATTTTTCCTTATCATTTTCTCTGTAAAAGATATATTATTGTTTCTTACTATTATTTTGTTTACTGTTATTCTTTGATGTAAGCTAATAATTTTAGAGCTGACAATCTCTAAATATCATAATTAGTAAATAAATCTCATAAATATTGATACCAAGGCTTTATTTCCCCAAATTATTTTTTAAAATATTTAAAGGAAAGGTTTTAAAGAGATGAAAGACAAGCTATAAGGCACAACTCTCAAATTACAGGATAATTTGAGGGCCCAGGTCTCATAATTTGAGGGCCCAGGTCTCATTCCTCACATATCTCTAACTCTGCCATCAACATACCTTGGTTACTGTCCTATAATGCAACTTCCTCATGACATACAGTAATGTTGAACATACTTCAATCTCACAGCTGTGGCAGCTTCAACTCATTTTAGCTGTTCCAGACCAAACAATTTTTGCCATGGATTCAATCTAATAAGCCTGATGGAAGATGTGGTTGCTTCACAATCAGAGGAGGAACTGTCCACTTCTGGTTGGCTGCGTGAAGCTATTGCAGAAACTAGACCCTCTCCTCTAGGCTGGAAACAGCTCTCTGTGGCAATTTGGGCATAAATTGCAGGAGACACTGGTTGTCTGACTTCTGCAGAAACATCTGCAGAAACATCTGTCTTTGTAATGCCTGATTGTACTTTTCAGTAATGCTTGCTGGTCTAAAGCAGAGTTCTTAGAAACATGAGTTTAGCGAAACCACACTAGAAGTGAATTTAAAAAACAGAGAGAACAACTGGCGGCTGTTTTTCCATTAACTGATAACATTTGGGAGATGAAATGAAGCCAAGGAAATCCACCAGTGGTTTTCCTTTATTTGTTCCATTCAACAATATGTAATGTGCTGTTGAATGTAAAGCAAACTGTATAATTGTTTACTCTTCCTTATAGTTTATAAGATTTTTTAAAAAATATTTCATACATGCCTGCATGAGTTGCATGGAAATTTCATAAATCTCTCTGCTGGTGTCAGATGCTTTAAACAAGACTAGATTTAAAAGAGTCACAATGTCAAAAGGGTAGTTCCTGAAATAGCAAACAAAGAGTGCGATTGTTTGAGATTTTTAAGTTTAAATGAACATTCTCAATTGCTTTACACAAAATAATACACTCAAGGCAACAAGCTCAATAACCTAACAGTTACTGAAAACAATGAATTATATCAAACATGACAATGAATTCTCTTTCTCCAAAAGACAACTGTGTAGCAATAGCACTTAGACTTACATATTGCTTCAAAGTGCACTCTGAGCATTTTACAATGTCTACATATTACCCCAACAATCTGGGTCCTCATTTTATCAACCTTGGAAGGATGGAAGACTGAGTCAATCTTGAGCTGGTCAGGATCAAACTCTAGGCTGTGGTCAGAGTTAGCCTGCAGTACTGCATTCTAACCACTGCACCACCATGTATAAGACAAATAATACCCAATTATAAGAAAATAACATATTTATCATTATGTGTATAAGTGTATTTTTTTTCATGACATCCTAAAAAAGTACTTTGTGCTGTCCAACAGATGTTGCTGTGTTTTCCACAAAAATTTAAAATATACCATAGCCCCTCTGCAAGTTTACTGCAGCATTCTGGGACACCATGGCATATAATTTGGGAGCCTTGGCATATACTGTATCTAAATTAGTAATACTGCTACTTATAATGCCACATCTTCTGTGCTTGAGTCAGGATCTTAAGAATATACATAACAGTTTGCTTTCCTCTAACATTAGATTAAAACAAATCAATCAAGTCATTCATTATAATAAATAAGTGACAGACTAAGTACCCAACAACTGGTGTTCCCTTTTAATATTTTTTTTAACCTAAACAAGCTGATGCAGAACAAATCCAAAGAATGCTAAAAACCCTGCAGACAGAGCTGAAGATAAATATGGGAAAATGCCTTGCTTTCAAAACTGCATTGCTATAATAATTAAAATTGCTTATTGTGATTAGTGATATTCTTGGGAATTTATTTTTTAAGTGTATATAACAAGACAAATAATCCATTGGAAACATTTAACATTTCCATTGGTAACTTTAAGGAGTCAGATTGTGGAACCAAAGAAATCATAAATCCAGATCCCTTGAAAATTATTGTATTTGTTTAAATGATATGTCTATTCTTGAGTGGGTGTCACTATACTACTTACCAAGTTGGTCAGTGCAAACAGCAGTGCACTTGTAAGGTATTTATTATCTATCTATCTATCTATCTATCTATCTATCTATCTATCTATCTATCTATCTATCTATCTATCTATCTATCTATCCATCCATCCATCCATCCATCCATCCATCCATCCATCCATCCATCCATCCATCCATCCATCCATCTATTCTATCTTATTGGCCACTCATCTTTCCGCAGAGTCACTCCAGGTTAGATTTCTTGGTTTGCACAGAGTGCAAATGTGAGTGTGCTTCAAGTGAAACTCAGAAGGGAATCACATGACCTCAGGACACTGCAATCATCATAAATACATGCCAAATGTCAAGCATCTGAATTTTGATCATATGATCATGGGGATGCTGCAGCGGTTGTAAGTGTGAAAAATGGTCATAAGTCACTTTTTTCAATGCCATTGTAACTTCAAACAGTCACTAAATGAATGGTTGTAAGTCAAAAACTACCTGTATATGGTAATACAAGACATAAATTCAATAACAAGTGGAGCTGAATGAATGTGAGTTGAATATAAAAGAGTGTGTGACCAATATGAAAGAAATATATTGAGGTATGGTCACGGCGATTGAACAAGGATTAAAATGGAAAATGGACATATGAAGAGTGAAGAATCAAAATGAAGGGGGAGACTGAGTAAGTCATAGTTGGATGGAGGTGATGATTCTTTGAAGAAGAGAGGCGAAAAGTTTAAGAGGAAAGGAAGGTGATATATGGATACGGGGAAACAAGGACAGGAAAATACAATATAGAAAGATACATTATGAATGGTAGTGCTAATTAGTTTTGCTATGTTACCTTTTTTAAAATTATCTCTTGACTTTTATTTCTTTGTTTCTGTATAATGTTGCTTAGGCTAAAAGGGACTATTTTAATGGTCATGCATGTATGCAGTCCGATCAAAACATGAACATATAATTTAAGTCTATCCTGTTCAAAAGTCCTAGGGTAATTTATTTTTAATTTTTACATGGATCCTGATTAACTTGCAAGGATCACTTTTTTAGCTTTGCTTATTGTTGATACCTGCTTCCACACACAGTTGCAATGGCTATGAAGCATCCTGAAGCAAGCTGATGGGATCCAGTATAACATCGATCTATAGCCCAGTTAAAGAGATTGATTTGGTCAGGATTCAACTCCAACAACAAGACAACAACTTCACAGCCAAGCTGATGAACCTGAAAACGCAGAGAATGGTAAGGAGTTTTAAAACAACAGTTAACAGTGTTTTATATCAACAACTGACAAAAGTTCATTGAGATCAATATTCTGCTTTGCGTGTTTGCCAAATGTAGGGTGCTGATAAACATGACATTAAGAGGCAAGGTTAAGTAACTCAGAGACAATGCATGATGTCTCCTTGGCCATTTCGTAGCACCTCCATTGTTATCGAAATTTGAATGCTCACAATTTTAAGAGTGTTATTTTTTTAACATTGTTTTGTTAAAATGTTTCCTTTAATTCTTTGCAATTTTGTGATTATATTTGTTTAGATTGCTCCCTCTTAACCTCCCCAACTCCCCTGGTCTTATCTAATTTGGCACTATCCCTATCCACCCCTTCAATGCCATTTCTTTTTTTTTTAAAGCAAACTTCTCCACTTGGAGAAGAAATGAGGCAGTTACCAAAACATTAATGATCCCAGGGAAATAAGAAATAAGTTAGAAAGAAACTTATTTTACTTGCTTGATTGTATAAAATATTTGAATAGCTGCTCATTTTATGTAGCATAATCCTGGATGGCTCACAAAAAATATTTTTTTAATAAAAGCGACTCTGCCTTGACTCTCTGGACTAAGAGGAAGGGAAGGAAAAACTCAGAGGCTTCAAGATTCTGTTACTCTATCCAGTATCAATAAATAGAATCCCAGTATTTCTTTTGGGGTCTGTTTCTTGACCTGGGCTACCTCAATGAGCTAACTGATGAAATATAGTCTGGATTCCCAGCTAGGAGGGAATACATTTCAGAGGAGTAAGTGACAACTCAGTTCAGATTGTTTATCTGAAAGAAAGAGGTTAAAGACAACTCCTCCTTAATAGTTCCTTTATGAGGGTGGTAGTTTGTTTTAGTTTGGCAAGATTCTGTTCACAGGTGAGGAACAATAAAGAAATCTGCTTGGAAAAATCACAATGTATCTTTCTTGGTTTTTGGAGCCTGACATAAGCAAAAAAACACAAGTATTACCTGTAGTCACTGGTATACAAGGCTTCTTACCCTCCTGATATTCTTATATACATATATTTATTTGGGGACATTTTAAAGCAATTTTGTATAATAACCATTGCAACAAAGGGATGCTCATTAACTGCAATATCCAAAGTTGTAATGGATTGCATCTTTGCTTCCCGTGAGCTTTCTAATTTTTTTTTAATTCACTGAACTAGTTGAATTTTCCTTTTGTGAATATTAAGGCAAAAATATTTTTTCAGGTCAGAAATTATTACCAGTCCATGTGGTTCACAGTACACACTATATTAAGAGGTGGTAATTTTCTATAACTATTTTGTTCATGCTCTAAAATATTTTATAAATCTATTGGATTAGCACCTCCTCCCCTGTGCATCTGTCCATTTACTTGCCCACCTATCTACTCACTTAGTCCCTATTATTATTTTTTAATGTCTCCTTAATTTGGTACTAATTCCTACTGAACTGTTATTTGCTTTTTATATATAGTTTTAGCATGTCCTTCTAATCTTACATTACTCTGTTTTTTGAATGGGGAAATGCGGCACTATACAAAATATTTTAAATGTAGTAATATCATTTCCTAAGGTAATTTCTATTCAGATGTTCTTTAAAATAAAAATAATTGTAAGTCAAGGGTTTCGTGTGGCCTGACCTGATTTTAAAGTGATTGTTAAGCTAATCATATGGTTGTAAGTCTAAACCCATTCTTCCGAATATTTGGTTTTTTGCTGGAAACTAACAAAAAACAAAAAACTGGCAAAAAAAATATATAGAATAGAGTAGAATTGGAAGGGACCTTGGAGATCTTCTAGTCCACCCCCCTGCTCAAGCAGGAGAACCTATACCATCCCAGACAAGTGACTGTCTAGTCTCTTCTTAAAAATCTCCAGTGATGGAGCACCCATGATTTCTGGAGGCAAGCTGTTCCACTGGTTAATTGGCCTCACTGTCAGGAAGTTTCTCCTTAATTCCAGGTTGCTTCTCTCTTTGATCAGTTTCCAACCATTATTTATCATCCTTCCCTCTGGTGCTTTGGTGAATAATGTGACCCCTCTTCCTTGTGGCAGCCCCTCAGATACTGGAATACTGCTATCATGTCTCCCCTATTTCTTCTTTTCTTTAGACTAGCCAAACCCAAGTCCCGCTGGCGTTCTTCATATGTTATAGTCTCCAGTTCTTGACTTATCATACTTTGATCCCTAACATAGTTCACAGAGTATGGTCCTCTAATAAAACATAAATTACCCTATTTGCACCACAGTACAGGTACTAAACAGATTCCACTTGAATCACAATGATTTCAGCCATAGAGTAGACCATGTGCAATAAAAATAAAATGTAATACATTTAAAAGTGAAACTCATTGTTGAGTTACTTACCCGTAAATCTTGGCAAGCTAGAATATTATCAAGCCATTTATAAAGATAGCCATCAGGGGAAAGACCCACATTGTCAAACACAGGGCCACAGCACAGCACTGCTGACATGGCCTAATTAAAAAAAAAAGAGGATGTGGTACTGTTTATTGCAAGGTTATCAGTTTCAAACTCTAAATAAAAGTCAACAAATCAAACAATGTAGTAATGAAGATTAATCATGTAGACTCCGTGCTGTCAGTCGTGTCTGCAGAAAACATATTTCCAAATACTACAATGGCCCAATCATATTCTTCATTGCTTTCCTGAGAATGTATAGCGATGCCATTCCTGCAAGTCCTCTGAGAAACCAAGTATTTCCTGGACAAAGCATGTAGATATTCTGTGTTCCCCAAATTGTATTTTCTCACCCAGTTAGCATGCTTGCATGCTGCCAGAACTACCAATAAGGAAAGATGACTGTGTAGTGGATGACTGGATTACATTGGGATAAGTGTTTTGTGGCAGGAAGTTAATGTAATTCTTGAATGACTAGGTAGTTCTGGGTTTAATTTAATACTCCAGGAACACTTTTTGGTATTCTCTCCTCTTATTATCACTCTTCCTCCTGAGCCAATTAAGTATGAATTAACATGGTTAATTTTGTATTTCTAAGTTAACCTTAATTGAATATTTAAAATATTTATTAATAATTTTTCAAATGATACATTCAAGATTCAGAAAAAGAACAGACCACAAAGATACACCAAATAATCGGTTATTTGGGGGAAATTATTTCAGCTTTAATTTATCTTACTACATTTCTAAATTTAAAATAATTTAATTTGATAAAGATTTATATGCAATGGAAGGAATCATGATGTACCTTTAAAGCACAATACTGGTATCTTGTAATCTGATGATTTCTATCACTATAACGATCCAGAGGTGTAAACATGATACTGAAGGGTCCAGCCCATTGACTAAACAGGATGAAGAGGTGGTGCCTCAAGCTTTGCTGAGGGAAAAGAAACCTCCTATGATGAACTGAGTGAATAAAAAATAAAATAAAATTATCTGTATTGATTAATTAATCAAAACTCAAACATAAATCTGATGCAAAACTGTGTAGCTAAGGAATTATTCCTAAAACACATTAATAGTATTTGTCAAGTATATATTTAATGGAAAGGAAAGAGCCTTGAATTTAAGATTATCCCATGTAAAAAAAAGTAATTTATTTTTAGGTAAATAAATATACATAATACAAAGAATGTGATGTGGTGAGAGAGAGATTTGCTTAGAAACAAAGATGGATTTCTCAAGATTCTCAATTAGGAAAACTACATGGCCATCCCTTTTGTACCAGATTGACACTAATACCAATTCAATAAACAATTAAACAATTAAATTTGTTTTATGCATGAGGCAGCCACACAAATTCATTCAATTTAAGAGGTCACATTATGGCAAAATTTGAGAACCTTTGAGATAATGCATCTGAAGAGTTTTGAATCTCTAGAATTTTGAAATTCTAAATATCATTGAATGGCTGTATTTATAACATAAATCAAATACTCTTCAATTTTCAGATGCACACAAGAGTATGGATGGGACCAATGCATGCTGTATATTATGCATGTAGGTCCTTCGTTCCAAACTGAAATGCTACATGGAGAGGCCAAACAGAGTGAAAACATGTATTCTGAGATGTTTATTAGGTTATCCAAATCCCTTAATGTTCAGTTTTACAATAGAGCTATGGATATTCTAAATATTACGCTAAATTAAAAAATGCAAGAGCTATTTTAATCTTGCTTGCTTGCTCCCATCCTCTCCCGCTTTATATATATAATTTTGTAATGAATGAAAACAGAAAATCCTTTGTTAGCACTAAGAAAATTCCATTCATTGAGCATTTGGCACAGCTGGATTTAATGCTTTGAAAGCAGAAGACTGATCTAATGGAAATTTTCAGAGAAAACAGAAGTTTTCAGATGCCCTGATTAAGCTACAGACCTTCAGGCTGATTTAAGAAATGAAATATACTCAGCCTTCAAAGAAATCTTTCAACATATATAACTTTAAATAAATTGAGTTTCTGCTATAAGGAAAATTAATGATCACTCTACTTTATGGATGCTAGTTTTCTGCAAATGAAAGCTAATAGTTCCTTGGCTATTCCTACAATAACCACAATCATTACTGAGTTTCAACTACAAAAATACAATCAAAGGAACCCTGTATTTCAAGTTCCCTATGCAAATTAGAAATCAATATGAATAGGTATCAAATGATAACTTCACTGATTGTTTGTCAATGCATCCACAAAATTAAAACGTACATATATATATTAAACATATTTGACAGTGTTTGTTTAAAAACCAAAAACTGTGAAGTAGACTTTTAAGTTCATTCACTGAAAAAAGACCAAACCCAAAGAAAATAATCGGACTCATGTAGCCCAGACTATACTGACTTATAACAGTGATCATATGTTCATTCTAGTTCGTATGAGTACTAAATCCATAATCCTTATGGTATATGTCCACAATATCATTAGGATGAGAAACACAAAAAATAATTTGACAGATAAGGCATTTTTCATAGGATTGCTATGGTCCACCTTTTCTTCATTATTTGCTATTTATTTTTTGCATTTTTTCCTTATCCATTTATTAGTAAGCATTATGATAAAGATGTATGCATTTAATATAGCACATGTTATTTATGGACTCCTGTCAACTCATTTCAAAAACTGGACTTCAATATGGAAAATCCACACATTAAAGTCCCTGGGTGATTTGGGGCTGGTTAGATTATTTCAGCCCAACCAACTTCATAAGGTTGTGTTTTGCATCCCTATGTGCATTCTGTTCGGTTCCCAGAGGAAAGATAGGATACGATAGATTGATATTAAATAATTAAAACATTTATCTCAAGTAGTTAACACAATATAGATCCACACAGGGGATGGATTGTCACTGGAAATCAGATAGCAATGAAATGACAGTGATAATTACACAGTGACCAACTCACAAACTATACTGTTGATAAATAAGGAACTCAAGATAACATTTCTTACATCAGATATAATTCATGGAATTTGTGCCATAATAAATTCAAAAGCTATTACTTTTGCCATAATTTCTTACATGATTACAACTCTAGAAATTGTACAATTTAGAATTATATAAATTGTACTTCTACTTAGTGCCTTCTTTCCCCTCTCCCCACCAACTACAGGTAGTCCTTGACATACAACAGTTCATTTAGTGACCATTCAAAGTTAAAATGGCACTGAAAAAATTGACTTATGACAGTTTTTCAAATTACAACCATTGCAGCATCCCCATGGTCACATGATCAAAATTCAGACACTTGGAAACTGACTTGTATTAATGATAGCTGCCGTGTCCTGGGGTTATGTGATCACCTTTTGTGATCTTCTGACAATCAAAGTCAATAGGGAAGCCACATTCACTTTGCAACCATATTACTAACTTAACAAGTGCAGTGATTCACTTAACAACTATGGCCAGAAAGGTTGTAACATGGGACAAAATTCACTTAACTGTCTCACTTAACAACTGAAAATTTAGGCTCAATTGTGGTCATAAGTCGATGACTACCTGCATATGGAACATTTATTCTTTCTTTACCCAGCAGTCCTTATCAAGCTTTTGTCAACCACTAACCTCTTTTTTCAACTTAATGATTCTGTACTTTATATAATTATTGCATTACCATACCTGGAACACATTGAATCAAGTTAGCAAGCATTGCACTAAAATGGGCTCTCATGTCCTTGAGAATCTCAACTTCTTTATCATTTTCAGCTTCCAATAACATGCGCGTTAGGTCGACATATTCTAAGAACAAGGCTCCCAGTGCTAGGGTATCTCGCTCCAAGGCACCATTTGTACTGTAACAAAGGAAAACAGTATGGATTAAGGAATCATCCAGAGGAAACCACAAGTGTGCATGACAGACTAGAATTTACAGTATAACAGTCAAAATTGTTATCAAGAATTAAAAAGAAAACTGTATAGCAACTACACAGGAAAAAGCTATTTTAACAAGATTCAAGAAATGACTGTGATCAGACAAATAATTGGCACCATCACATGGTTTTCTTCTATTTGAAAAGCAGTATCTTACCTATCACTTATCACACCAGCATCAGCAAGTAATTCAAAAATTCGCAACAGCTGTAATCGTAAGAGATCTCTGCGCTCACGACGTTTCTTATTCTGTATTGCAGAAAAACAGGGCAATATTAGTTATATCTACTCTCTGCATGTTGATCTTAAAAAAAACCTAGCTGAGTAGGAGTTCACAGTCTTTTTTAAAGCTATCCAGCAATTTTTAAATGGTCTGAACTTTTTAATACTGAAGATAGTTCTCCAAAGAACTAGCAGTGGCACACCAATTGGACAGCTTCTATAAAAACTATATTTCTGGCTACTAAACAAATTTGTGTAGATTTACACAAGAGGAAATAAAGTGTCAGTTATGGTCCAGCAGAGAAAGCACTAATGTAGAAACTAATGTCCTAAGTCCGTGGTGGCGAATCTATGGCACGCACGCCACAAGTGGCACGCAGAGCCCTCTCTGTGGGCACACACGCCGTCGCCCCACTCCTAGGCCTTCAGCTGGGTTTTATAAAACCTTTTCACTTTAGGCCTCCGCCGCCGTGTGCCAAAAAAAAAAAAGGTTCAATCAATCCATTTCAACTTCTCGCGGGAAAAAAATCTCACAAAGTTGGAATTGATTGAACTTTTTAGTCCCACCCAGTCTGCCGTTACCACCGCAGCCATGCCCACCCAATGGGCCATGCCCACCCAATGGGCCACGCCCACCCGGCACCCGACAATACATAAGTGGGTTTGGGTTGCAGTTTGGGCACTCGGTCTCTAAAAGGTTCACCATCACTATCCTAAGTGGTTGCTCCTGTGAGGCTACTGATGCCTTTCAATGGGCTGTGATAGGCCTTTGAGCTGATTTTAGATGCCAGCATCCGAACTATTTGCCAACAGCTAAGCCATTCAAAAGGCCTAGTCAATGTTTTCTCAGGTATCCTGCAGCAGCTGCTGCTCACTGTGGTTAAATCTACCCCACTGTATCTGTCAAGGTTTTGCCTGCTTTTTCAGTATCCTTCTTTTCCCTTTCTCTTTCTGACTTCTATGCTGCCACACATAGTGCTAAAGCTAAACTCTATAAAGAGTTGGTTTGTACAGTTTTAAGGAAGAGGGATAAAGGGACAGGAGATATATGAGCATTCCAACCACTGCATGTCTTCACACATACTTTCTGTTGTCAAATAATTGAAAATCAGACATCCCTAAGAGTCAACAGATCTCCCAGCACTGTCTGATCACTACAGATTTCTAAATTTCAAATCAGTAATATTTTTCAAAGATATTATTTCTTTCTTCTTTGTAGCAACACTTTCATTGTGACAAATTAAATGCTGTATGTTGCAAATATTCTGTTTTTTACTGATTACTACCCTCATAATTTTTTTATCTTTAAAATATGAACTTTTATAAATATCAATTTGTTTAATACTATTTGTCCAAAATAGATTAATTAATTTCAGTCCTATTTACCATCTGTTAAATATTTACAACTTAACTATATTACTAACCTCTGGTCTTCTCTCTAATGCTTCCTTCATTAGAGGGTGAAGTTCTTCCACTAATTCCCTAAATTAAAAACAAAAATATTTTTCAAATAAACTACAGTTGTAATATGTATGAGTGTATATGTGCCTTCTTCAAATTATGTTTAATTTTTTGGTGAATGGTCAGAAGAGACAGTGAATTCTTGAATATTTCCACAAAAACAGATTAATAATCTTATAATGGTATATATATTGAAGACATATCAAAATGATTTAAGATCTTAAAAACAGGAATACTCTGCTTTAGTTGTAGAGTGGAATTTCTGATACAGATCTCCTGCAAGAGCAATTATAGGTGGTGAAAATTGAAACATCTAATAGATGAGGTCAACAAACTCCAGTTAAACACTGTCATTGAGGAATCTGAGCCTATAAATTAAAGGCAAAGAATAATAGAAACTGAAAAGAAAAATATTGCAGAAAAAAAAAGAAAAATAGAAAAAGAAAAAGAAAAAGAAAGAAAAATCAGAGTATAATAAAGAAAAAGAAAAGAAATATATAAAGAAGTGACTTTCCCTTTATCACAAAAAGAAACAATTTTAGTAACTTATTACTTTCTCCTAAAATATAACAAATTATCTCTTCTTCCCATATCCTATCTCTTATTCTCTAAACAAATTCATGAAGCTTCATCATTCAGTCCTAATATCAGCTTAAGTCCATCAAGTGTTACCAGAGATAACAACAGATCTAATTTTACCTTGCTCAGATAAACCCATATATTCACTGTATATTCCTTCATTTTCTTTAATTCACTCAAATAATGTAGAATATTTATTTTCACTTTTTTTTGTTCATTCTCACAAAATTCCTCAAAATATTAACAAGTGTCTTTTGTAAATCCAATATAGAAAAGTTATCCAGATCACTCTTTTCCATGTCATTCTTAAAATTCAGCTACCCTCTTATAGTTTGAAATATTTGAAGCTACTGCAAAAAAATATAATAAATGGCAAAATAGCTAAGAAAAAGTAATGGAAATATTAATTATATGTGTTTTTCTTTTTATGACCCTGTAGTCCCTTAATTCAAGGTAGAGTCGGGGTGACTGGGTGGAGCTGAGTGTTTACTGGCCGGATGCCTTCCTGATGCCTACACGGAGTTTGCAGCAGATAAAACAATTTTTTTTTAGTGTTCTGCATATTATAGGTTATTTAGTAAATAAAATGCCTCATGTATTAATGTTTCAAAATTTATTATCAAGATGGTTACACAGTTTGAAGCTGTATTCTATTTAATTCAGTTTTCCAATTATAGTATTTTTATTACATTTAACACTAAAGCAAATCTGGACCATGAACAACTCATGCCATACAAATACCTGAAAACAAGAGCATTAGTTCTTCCAAAGCCTAGCACAAGTGATTCAGTGATTTCTATGCTTTCAAGTCTCATCAAAGGCACTAGCTGTTTTAATAACACACCAACAGATGGAGTTCCTATAGCCTAAAATAAAATGAAAATAATTTTAATGGATACGGTCATTAAAAATGTTAAAAATTAAGGCTAACAAAGTATGCATAGTTATAACTGTTGCTAATGAATTTTTAAAAGGCACATTTTGCAAGGGAGGATTATGTTCAAAATAGCCAAGAAAATAAAATAAGCAATATAAATGGCATGTTTAAAGCAATGTTTAAAGGTAGTTCAGCAGCAAAACTGTAACATGTACTTTTCTCTTTAACATATATGATCTGATTTACTCTTCTTTAACATCACTGTATCTTTGCAAGAATGAGATTGGAAAGACATTTCTGAATGGTATGTGGAACTTGGTATAATATAGTTTTGGAATAGGGTCATTCTCAGTTGAAAACAAGATTTTGGTAACTCATCCTCATGCGTCATCTATTGAGTTTGGACATTTATCCTGAAGATAATAGAAGAGAGCAGAGATAACACTATGCAGAGGACTCAATTTTATTTTCCTCAAGACTACTGAATGTTTTTGCTTTAATCTCTTAATTATAAATCTGTTTATAAATTCCTAACACAGAAAATACATTTCTGGGTCCCCTCTATTCTCTGCAACTACATTCTTTATTATCTGCTGAATAAGGGGAGATATAAACATTGTGTGAATTGGTGGCAAAACAAGAACTTCTAATAGAAAGGCCTGCACACTTGGGAATATTTAAAGTTATTTATCCCAATATAACAATGGAGACATTCCAAAACCCCACTCATTATTTCAGAAATGATTATCAGAGATTTATCTCTTTCATTATCTCGCACTTGACCTCAAATGCTTACTCTGAAAAGAAAGCATACCACTTTGACCAAAGGTCAAGCATCTAAAACTAGTGCATTCCAGGACAGAAATGTAATTGGGGGAAATGTAATCCTAAAAACAAATGGAATTATATTTTCATACTTCTCTCCTGCCAGCAAAATGGCTTACAAAGCACTAGGAGCTTAAACAGGGAAAGACCAGCCCATTCATCCTTTGTTTGTTTTCCAATTTTAATATCTTGCACCAATCCTGAGTTGGTAACAATAGACTGAAACAGAATTCCAAAACTGAATAGATAGATAAAAACAATACATTGGCCAAGGAAATAATGATGAACTAAGCAAAATATTTGAAGGTACGTGAGAAGGATCATGGTATTAACATGACCTGTGCCTTATTGCTGGGAACAGTTGTTGAGTCCATTCAGATCTGTTACACTCTTTCTTCCCATAGTATAACACTATCCAAGCATTTTAGAGCAGCAGCAACAAAAATAAACACAAGAAACCCTTTGCATTTGTCTTTGTGACCATGATACCAGAATAAAAAATGTCTATATTAGCACAATTTTGTTGGCAATGCTACTGGAATAGTGAGCTTCTAGCTACAACACAAAAGTAATAGTATTTAAAACTTCATGATAGTTTTTACTTAAACCATGAAGCTAAAGGATTATCCACTCGAAATAAAGCAAAAGGATTACCACTCAAAATAAAAAGGAATACCAACATGGTTACCTGAATCTTTTACATTAATAATATGTTAGATAAAGACCAATCAATATACATTTTATGATACCCATACTGCCATAGTGTAAGAACAACACAGCTTGGAGCTATTTATTTTGAAGAAAGAAATGATCAAAACTGGATGACAAAAGTGACTTTTGACTCCCACCCTACAAGGGTTCCACAAATCTTTGAAAACCTGGCTTTGCTCCCAAACCTAGAGTTAGGTTGTTTGTTGAGCCATAAATATTTTTTTTAATACAGCAATTTATACTGTAATGAGTGATCTTGTCCAGGCATCATTTGGGGGATGGGTGGGTTTCCAAATCTAATAAAATAAAATGTTCTGCTGAGGGCAACTCTAACTGGCAAGACATCTGTAACTATCTTCTTCAATTCCTCTTTTCCAAAACTATATCCTAACAACAGATTAGTAGTTACAAATTTACTTTGTACATTAATTGCAACACCTCTTTAAAATCTATAGGTAACAGCATATTATAAGAACTCTTTGGGGACATTGTGCAAAACTGTATACTAACTATAAACATTTTAGTCACATTGTAAATTCATTTACTGAAATATGGAATTACCTTATTATCATAGCTAATGGTACCATCAGGCGTAGTAGCCATGATCTCTGGTGTTGAAACACGCAGATGTCCAGGACTCATAATGCTGGGTTTAGCTACTCCAAAGCAGAGAATCAGATAGTTTCTCCACAAAGTTACATAATGATCCCCAGTGCTGGGTGTACTTGTTTTCTTTGCATTCATGGGACTACTAGAAATATTATTTAAAATAAATATTTTTTAAAATCAAATATTAAATATAATTTTGCTCTATAGTTATTAAAATACCAATAAGATTAGGAAAAAGAGAAGGAAATTAAGACTTTGAGTTCAACCCAGTTATAAAACGAAATTCATTTAAAAGATTGAATCAACAGTAAACTAGATGTTTCATTCTGAAATCTTATCGAGCAGTGGTGGCGAACCTATGGCACACGTACCAGAGGCGGCACTCAGAGCCCTTTCTGTGGGTACACGCGCCATGCCCCGGAGATGGCAACCGTCCCTCTTCAACCAGCCGCCCGCTAACTCGCCGAGGTCCCACATGGCCAGATGCATCCCAGCATCCATGCACTCACTGGCCTCTGTGTGCAGCGACTGATGGTGTCAGGCAGCAGCCGCCCCGGCCCCTGCCTCACCTTACTCTGTGGCAATGGCACCCCTGCCCTGCCTCGCCTTGCCTCGCCTTACCCAGCAGGACGAGCCTCCTACCCACCACCCCACCTGCCAGAGACACCCTGGATCTCCCCCAACCCTGCCCGGCCCCCACAGGCGTCCCTCCCCATGAGCAACATCGAGGTGATCACGCCCACCTTGGCCACACCCACCCAGTCTGCCATGACCACCACAGCCACGCCCACCCAGTGGGCCATGCCCACCTGGCACCCGGCGATAAATAAGTGGGTTTTGGGTTGCAATCTGGGCACTCGGTCTCTAAAAGGTTTGCCATCACTGTTATAGAGTAACAGCTGGTTAATAGTAAACAACATAGACATATCATCTAACTCAGTAATTAGCTTCACTTTATTGAATGAGCCATAACACACTAAGCATAACACAAAACAAATAATTTGGCTTAGCATTTTATATAGACCTGATCCATAAAAGACATTTTTCAAAGTACATAATAGTGGGTACAGCAACAGAACATTCTTCAATTTGGTTTTTTTAATTGTTAATTGTAAATTTGTAACTGGATCTATGACGCATTAATACTAGAATTCGCCTACAGGTAAAACCAAAAGATTAAGAGACCAGGGAAGGCAAAGAATATTAAAACAAATGCTTGAAGTCCAGCTACAATACTTTAAATCGATCATGCAGACTCCTTAAAATATAATTAATGTTTACAAATACGTAATTCTCATATATACTTGACTTGTTAGACTTATTCTTTAAAAAGTAATCAAACATACCTAACAAAGTAACTTCTCTGAGAGAAATAGGCGGTTCAAAAATGTGAAAAATAAATAAATAAATAAATCGAAGTTTGAAAACAGGTTAGCAATGTAACATTAATAAAACTTACTTTGGATCAACCAAAGGCATCACCAGCTGTAGCCTTGTAAATGCATAAGGCCAAGCATAGCTAAGAGCTGTAGGACAATGCTTCGGTAAGTTCTCTTGCCTAAGAAAACTGAAAAGGCAGAGAACCCAAGGATCTTTGACTGACTGTGCAAATATCCAGACATGGGAAGGGCTTTTTACATCGTAATGGCTATTAACAAGTACTGCATTCCATTCTACCAGCCATTGCAAATCCACATTATGTGTTAATGGTAATGTTGTCTGTGAAAAGAAATGAAAAGAATGATATATCAGAAAATCATCTATGTTTCATATTTTCTTTGGTACAAAGCTCTGCTAGATATCCAGGCCTCATGTCTGATGACAAGGCTCTTCTCTACTGGGATGGATTCTCTAACATATATAGAAATGACACTTCATTTTGCTGATTCAGCATTCCATTCCTGATTTATTTTCATATTTTTTATTTAACCAAATGTTCTGTTTATTGCATCTGTTTGTTCAACATTCACATGCAGAACAGTTTGCCTTTATCAAAATCCATTCGAGGAATGTTTCTTAGTTCATTTACTTGGTTAACTTACTCAAGGTCGGTTCATTTATATTAAATCCAACAAGCAGAAAGTCTGTTCTAATGGGAAGATGAAGGGCATTAAATTAACAGGATAAACCTAGTAGATAACGGAGCTGAATCTGGTTCTATGGAAATCTCTGGATGGGCTGATACACATAACCCTTGACTTACGACCACAATGGAGTCTGGAATTTTGGTCATAAGTTGTGGTCATAAGTCGAGGCACCATATGACTGGACTTGATCTTACAAAATGTTTAATGGTCATAGCAAATCATCACTGCTGTTAAGTGAATCATGTGGTCATTAAGTGAATCCAGCATGTTCAATTGGTTTTTTTTTTGCCAGCAAAAAATCCCATCATAGTCATGTGGCTAAGAGCCAAAGCACTGGTTATAATGGCAAATCAGTTGCCAAGAGCTTAAAATGTAATCAGAGATTGCAGAGGTGGTGGTACAATAGTCATAACTTCAAGAATCAGTTGAAAATGGCTTATTTCAAATCATAAAATGATCATTAAACAACTGATTGTAAATCAAGAAATACCTGTAGTTAAAATTGCGATTAGATGTTTGATTTTCTGCTAAAATTGAAAAATCTATACAATAATAATTGCAGGCTACAATATTTATTTGGCGCATATATATTGTTAATGATGAGAAATTACTTACTGAGTCAGAAACTGCCACATGAATAAAACTTTCTAGAATAGAAGAACTTAGCTGGTCCATAACATCAATCATAGGTCTATCATCATCCTGTATACATGAAGGTAGCAATAATTAATTGTGTGGAAATTATGAATTCTCTCTCTCTCTCCCTCTGATGTGGAAACACCCACACCCACATATACTCGATGGGGGGGGGCATTTTGTGAGGTAAAAGATGAATAATCTTAATCACATACAGAAAAAAGTGACACAAATTATATTAATAAGAATCATCAAATTATTAAAAGTAAGCAAACACTTATTTTAGGGCAAAACACTATCACTTTATTTACAGTTTTAGCAAGCACATACTTATATTTATGCATGTATTCTCTAGAAAGAATACAATAGTGAAGTTTATCTCTACTTTCCCAGAGCATTTGGAATTACATTATGAGCAGCTACAAAACATTCCTTTGGCAGAAACTGAAGCTTTTCCTTATGAATTCCAGCTATTCCAGTAATGCTGGGAAGAAAAGAAATAAACTGCCCTACCTTGTTTGTTGAATTTTATTCATGTCTCTGCAAGTGATAAAAGTAAAAGAGATACCATACCCAGTAATTACATACTAAATCTCATGTGATGTGATGTCTTAATCAAATCTGTTAAAATACTCCCTTTCAGAAGTTTCAACAGTTATATAAATATGGCACCAATTAATACCATAATCACAGCAATGTGATATTCCGTGTTTACCAGAAAATTCTATTTGACTTAAGTCAATATAACCTAATGGTCTGAAAAAGTAAATTACTTTTTTCTAAGACACTCCAATGGCACGAAGACAGACTATTTTGAGCCTTTTTTAACAATTAATGTAGGGTAACAAACTAGGAATACAATCTCTATGATCTTATAGTTGACAAATAGGAATTAGTAACCTCTACTCTGGTGTTTCTCAACCTTGGCAACTTTAGAATAGTTTGAGTTCAACTGTCATGATTCCCCAGCCAGTGGGAGTTGAAGTTCCTGTAGCTTAGATTGCAAAAGTTGAGAAATACTGCTCTACTGTATTAAGACCACACTGCCACCTGGGTTTTCCTGATGTCATATGTTATAAAAATATTAACTGCGATGTATAAAGAAATATTTTTTGCAGCATCTCATATCAGGAAGGGACAGTTGGTGACTTGGTCTTAATATAAGTAAACTGTCTTAATACCAATGCCCCTTCCCCAAAATCAACTCAGTTCAAAAATCAATATTACACTATTTCTGGGCCTGAAAAAAATATTAGCTGGGTAAAATAGACAATGAGAAGCAAGAGAGATGATTTCAAGCAGTGAGCAAATCACCTTTAAACTTGTGTAGTCCCTTATTAAGATTGAAAAAGGCCTTCTCATGTAAGGAATAAAATCTATTCGAAAGCCTGCAGTATAGTTTTGGTATTTTCACTGTTCAAAGGTAGCTTTAATAACATCTCTGCAAAAATAGACTCTGCTCCAACTTATATAAAGAGACAAAAACACCCCCTCATGTATGTTGCCTCTTCTTCACAATAGCAAGTTGACCTAACAACCCATCTCCTAGGTCATTTTCTTGCAACTCAGAAGGTATCTTAACTGACAGATATTTCTGGAAAATTTGTAATATTTCTTGCCATTATTCTTGTTATCAGATACTCATCTTAGTTTGGAAACCTCAATACTTTAATGTAAAGAGTTCAGGAAATTTCTTGGTGTTTATTTTAATGTTCTCTGATGTGCTATTCAATATGTTTTCTTCTTTAATCATAAATTAAATGATTAAAATTAAACTAACTTAAAATGCAATATACAGATTCCCTATGGAATTGATATCCATATGGTCCCTGCACATTTTCCCTGCTGGGGTTAAATGGCAGCTTTTAAGAAATGAATCTTGATCAGAAATGTGATGCATATAGAAATAACTAACCTTCTTGCCCTGCCAGGTGGTCCTAATTTGAACCTTCTATAGCTATAATTTATACTTTTAGAACTCTAAATATAAATCACATATTTTTGCTGTCAGAGCTGATTTGGCACTCAGCTCACTAACTCTCACATCCACAACAGAGGAATGAAAACTAGAGGAACCTAAAAGCAAAATTTATTGGTTATCGATCTTGGTAGGGAATAACTTTTAAGCAAACTTGAATTAAACTTCAGTCCAAACTGATAAAACAAAATCACATTGCTGGGGAAAATCAAAGTCATGACACAGGAAAGAAAGCCATACCTCTGCTTGTCCTAGTGCATGAAATAAAGCACGGACCTCTCTGAGAATCAAAACTGCCAGTTTACGTGTGGCAACTTGGAAACTGCAGAGCAATACCAGTGCAAAACCTTCAACAGCATGCAGTACATTTGAATAAGAACTTCGTTCAGTCTGGGTCCTTTGACTGGATCCATTTGCTATCAGCTGCAATATAAAGCATTTATTAACTCATCCAAATATGTTTCAAGTTTTAGTCTTTAGACTGTTCTAATATAGAAAAATATATAATTTGAACTGTAAAATTTGAAACAGAAACAAAAAGGCATTGACTTGTATATCTCCTTATTCACTGAAATAATAACTACTTTCCATTCTTATTCTTCAAAAACATTGTCCTGTGTTATGCTGGTTTTTGACTGTAATAAAGATTTTGATTTGATTACCCTGTGGTGCACAGTATGTGTAAGTAACATTGTCTGACATTTGATTTCAGCCATAATTGGATTTTCACAACAAAAAAATGGTATCAGTTTCCTGCTACTATTTAAAATTACAATTAGCACAAAAAGAGAATCTCAGACATCTTTAAAGCAAGACTGTGACATGGGAAAATACTCAATATTCAAAGCCAATCATCCATACTTCTTAAATTTTAATATAAGTTTGAATTACATAAATGGCCAAATCATGTACTTCATCTAATCTGGCTAATTCTTCTTCTGCAAAATAATTACTATTATAGAGTTGCTATCCAATGAAATCAATTTCAGAATATGTAGAATAACCTATCACAGTGGGACAGATTTGAAAGAAGCAAAATTCAAACAACAAATAATGCAAACACTCAGTGAGAAACCTCCTCTGAAAACACCTAGTCGTGTTTCCTTTCCCTGTTGGTTGAACAAAGCAGGGTTGGGACAAATATATATAATTGCAGAAAGAATTAACTAGAAGAAAACAAGGTCAATTTATAGGGCATTTGAGGGTACTAGCTTGTAATCTATTTATAAAACATTTATTTATAATCTATTTATTAAATATTTTACTGTTTTTCCCACTCTTAAGCTTATTTGTGGTAACATTATAGAAATTCCAAGGAAATGCTCTTCTTTCATTGTAGGCCCGTTCTTGTTCTATTTATACACAATAAAGGCCTTTTGTAGTTATCTGTGATGAACAATGCATGGGAAGCAAGAGGTTCATAAATTATATTTAATTATATTAAAATATTTAAATATTAAAATATAAATATGATACAGTCCTTCATATGTGTGTATTATAGTATCATCATAAGAATGTATGTGGAATAGATATTTCCTCCATGTTAGATATATATGATATCAAGCATTTTTCTGTTTTCTTTAGTTGTTAGTAGGACTTGAGCATATGTTAGCTTGGACACAAACTGGCTGCTTCAAGCACCTTTCCTGTCCTTTCTATGTGGTGATGAAATTTGTAGACATTCTCCTCAGGGAGGTTGGAATTCTACATGAAATTTTTTTGGACTTGCTCCCTGGAAAGTATGTATGTAGGTGGCTACCATGTTTGCTAAAAAAACCAGGTCTACCTAATTCAGAATGGTATTCCTATTCCGTAAAGTAAAGGAACATGTTAAGAAGGCAGCGTTATCTTTACTTTTAGAATCTTACCTCTGAAGATCTGACTTTTGTCTGTTCACTGGTCTTCCCCGAAGTGTGTATTGTAAGCTTCCATTGTGTTAGCAACTGTAACAATAATTTTAAAGACGTATCCAGGAGACTATTATGCACATCATTCACTTCACGCAACAAAAAATTTGTGAAACCAAAAAGAACGTCCTCTCTCCAATCCACAAAATCAACTAGTAGGCCTTGAAGTGAATTTTGAGCAATGTGCCGAAGTTCATCATCCATATGTATAGAAAGCCTATGTAAAAAAAAAAGTGAAATGACAAATTATGGGCAACGTCTATAGCAAGAATAATCATAGTATCTATAGTCATATAGATCTACTAACCATTAATGTTATACATTTCTTCTCAGTCAACATAGTTTTAGTATCTCTAATAATAACAACATATAATGGAATTTGTTTCTGAGCAGATTTGAATAAGTTTATATGTTAAACTTTTCTTGAAATAACGTATCAGAAAGTAATTAATTTTGAAGTAAAATACAATGCAAATAATATTATCGTAAAATTAATCTTATTTTAATTCAAGTATAGTTAAGATGGATAGATGGTAGATAGGTATTTTTATTTTCAAAACAAAACAGTATAGTAACACTAAAGACACGTACAATATTTTTAATATTCTGATTTCAAAATTATCAAGTTAGTTATATAGGTTACTAATTCATCTTCATAACAAGCAGGTTTTCAAGAAAGCTACCATTCAAGCTTGGTTTTAAAAAGTATTAATATTTGCTCCATTTTTTACATTCTATTACAACCAAGTTCTGTTAGTTTTGAAACTTTAATTTTACAAAGATATCTAAACTATCTAAACTATAATTTTCTCTCCTAATCTCCAGTATGAAATGAATAGGAGGGTACAAAGTAGTATTTTTATAGTTTTAACTTTTGAATATAGACAACATGATGCCTGTCATATGTTTTCTACTCTAATTCATACAGTTCCTTGCTTTTTGGCCATTCTGGTGATCAGAGTTAAAATTCAGGATATCTGGAAAGTACTAGATAACCTGCTCTGTATTAGGAGATTACAATACTGTAGACTGAAAAGCCAGAAAACATTTCACTTCTAACTCCAAACATATATACATATACATATATGATAAAACCAATAAATATCGATCACCAAGAGGAAAGTAGTAAATAGTAAAAAATTTGATGTAGGTAATGCATCTAGGATACAACACGAACAGCTGGGTCCGGTGACACGTTCCAGAAGCCGGATGCAGGCTGTTAACATCTTATAAAAGCTCTTTCCCAGTGACTACTTTTAAAGCCCTGATGATGTTGGGTGGGCCCAACGAAAGCTCGGCTCATTAAATTTTTTACTATTTACTACTTTCCTCTTGGTGATCGATATTTATTGGTTTTATCATGGATTTACCCAAGAGTCGAATTTTTAGCTTTATAACGGATGAGGAAGACAGCTAAAAGGCCCCAGGGAAGGAAAGGTAGCAACTGGACTGGCAGTGAGGATGATGGGCAAAAGGAGGGGGATAGAGAGCAGGGGACAGTGGGGTTGGCAATACAACACAGAAAAGATGGTGGAAACGGAGAGGAATTGGAGGACATAGGGAGCAGGTGTAAACAAAAAGGGGGGGGCAGGGT